CTGATAAATATGGATCGAAAAATACTTTCTTAAAAAGTTAGCGTTCGAAAAACCTCCGGAAATAAAATCACAATTGTTTTATACATTTTTACAAAGATCAGGAAATATATGCGTTTTTTAACAAAAAGTATGAAAACGACAGTTATACAGAATTCAATTACCTTTCAAATGAGAACAATCAAAATGATTGTGTAATACATTCTGTAGATTTTGAGATAGTTTCAAATGTACAAAAGTATTTTTTTTTTATCGACAGTAGAACTTTTTTAAAGATATTCTTTATATTTATGCTTGTATGTTCTTTATAGTATTTATGGAAAATAAAAAAAAGTAGAAAAAAGAAAATAAATTTCATAGAAAAAAATTAGAGTAAAAAAATTTTTAAAAAAAGCTTTAAGTATTGTCGATAGCCAAGAAATACTTTATTGCATTTGATACTAGTTATTTAAAAATCTATGGAACGCATGCCATAATCATTTTAATCTCATTTAAAAGATAATTTAATTCGATAATTTCAATTTTTGTTTTGGTAATTTTTGTTTAAAAACGCATACTTTCTCTGATATTTGTAAAAATGTGTAAAATAATCGTGATTTCAGAAATTTTTGGACGCTTTTTAAGGAAGGCTATATTTTATAACTCGAAACACGAATTGCAAACATTTAATTAATCAAGAAATATTGTGATCATTAGAATCTGGAAATTTTGTGTTTAAATAATAATTAAGTATGAACATTTGGATTATCGGAAAATTTGTAATAAAAGACAATTTCCTTTGGATAATACAATTAGAAACTCTTTGGACTAACATCAATATAAATGAAAAAATGAAAAACAATTTTTAGATAACGAGTATTCTTACGTTATAATTAAACATGTTATAAGAAAATAAACTTAGATTAGTTCGCCCGTTACGCGAAAAAATTTACGAATTGCTTATATACTGACGATGGCCTAATGTAAGGTCGAAACGTCTATGTAATATTTAATTGTTTGTAATTTGATTATAATTTATTGTCATCAAATATAACTACTCGCTAACGATCTTGCGTTCGCAGGGTGGTCTTTATCTTTTCGTTTTTAAATTTTAATCACATATTGACATTGTTTAAGGAAGTATTTTTCGACCCTATATTTATAGGAAACTTTTTGTTCGGAATAATATCTCAAAGAACATTCGGGAACACTCTATAAATATATATACATTTATATATACATTTATATATTTATATATATTATATATACATTTATATATATATATACATATATATACATATACATACATAATTAAAGGAATAAAAAAATACTGAATTATATTCATCTAAAGTAAAACGTAAAACGAATAAATGTAATTTAAAATATATATGCTTTGTTCCCCCCCCCCCCTCTCCTTCATGTTTTATAACCGCTGTCTTATGTCAGTTCATATTCTTATAATTCTTTTATGATGATTGACTAAATTTTCAATTAAATCAAATTAAATTTTTCTTGGATATTTTCATATTGTCGGTACAACATTATCGATGCACTATTATATTTACAATTGCGTTTACATAAAATAATTACAATTTTTCCTTGCGTATGTACATTGTAATCGCGATACGATTTAAACATATTTTACACTATCTGTAAAACTTGTACCTGCTGGTCGCTGCAAATCTTAATCATTTTACAATTGTGGCAATAAACTTGTTCCGAATATTTCGATGGCTCCAATTATGAATGTTTCCAAATTACATACACTATGCATTATAAGGAGAAAAACAAATATCGTATGTGTTTTAGGTAAAGAGAACATTATCCTTTCACGCAATTTTTACACGAATGCACACACGCACGCACGTACGAACATTAAATCAGTGAGTATCATGAGCATAATAATTTCTGCATAAAATATCAATAAAATATCAATGTATAATTACATATCGCACCTATGTAAGAAAAATTACACAAATCGAATTTTTTAAATTTCATATTATAGAGGTTGTATTCTAAATGTGATCTTTAATTAAGAAAAATACAAGTTGAATCTAAATACATCCCAAAGAAACATAACACAAGAAAAAAATGACACAAATATAAATAATTTTTAAAAGTAACACAATAGCATAACAAAATTAATTACGTTACGTCTAGAGAACTTGAAACAAGTCATCTGTCATTAGCTCTTAGTTAACTTATATTTAATATTGTTATAATTATAATAAATAATTTTAAAATGGAATTTCTTTACCTTTTTCTGAACATTTCATATTTTTTGTATTTGTGTCATTTGTCTTGCAAGAAATACGATAAATCGTGGAAACTGATGCATATATTATGTATATACAAGATGTTCCATTTTAATTTATTCATGCAAATATCTCGAAAAATTTGGAAGATACAGAAAAATGTTTCAGGTGAAAATGGAAAGTTTGAAAGGAAATATATTTTAGTCACAGTTTTTTTTCTGACCTCAAAAAGGTATGAAGATCACTTTCAATTTTTTAAATGAAATTATATGATTTTTTTTTGCATAATAATATGATTCCTCTAATTATTCTGTATATAAAAATATTATGATAGAGATATAAAAAAATTAATAGTTTACGAAATATTTTATATTTTATTCATATATTGACATAAAATATTAAATATTTCGTAAATTATTAATTTTTTTATAATTGTACGTTAATATTTTTGTATGCAGAATAATTAGAAGAATATTATATAAAAAAAAAAAGAATCATAATTCCAAAAAAGTGGAGGTAAAAATATGTCGTCTCTCCTCGAAATCATTTCATATTTGAAACATTTTTCCGTATCTTACGTATCTTATGTTTTTGGAAATATTTGTTTGGGGCAATTAAAATGGGATTCTGTTTGTTTGTTGTGTGTGTGTGTTTGTGTATGTGTGTAATATTGCGCAATGTACAATTGTAGCGCATCTCATATACGTTACTATAAAATTCTATGATGAAAAATTAGATACACACACACACACACACACACACACACACACACACACACACACACACACACACACATTGCT